AAGTAAAGTAAGGATAGTTGGTAACGATATTAGTAAATTCAAGATTAACTAATTCCCCGGCAACGGCGCCAAAAACTTGATACGCGTAAAACCTACGTATGAAAAACCGCAAGTGTACAGTATCGCGTTTTGTAGAATAGTGAATTCCAGATATCGATCCACAGGGAATTAAGTTCCTAAATTTACCAAGTACCGTAATTATACTATCCTAAACTTTATCTAGACGATCGAAAGGGATACTATCCTAAACTTTATCTAGACGATCGAAAGGGATGGGAAAAATGAAACCAAAAAGAAACAATAAATAAAAACAACGGTCCGCCAGTAAAAGCAAGGAATTCCAACGTGTGATGGCTTCTAGGGTAAAATCCACCAGTGTACTATCGATAAAGATCTACAAATCCGAATCTAATGTCAATTCTATGTTCGCTAACCCAGACACTAAAGTACCCTAACCCCCGTCTCCAGTGTAGTTAGAGTCTACCCACAGGTCCGACGTCTCCGTTCAGAACCTGATATTAAGAGAGCATTTAGGTCAAGTCTTTAAGGGCTACCCGAGGTGCATCACGTCTCCGTTTCCACAACCCGAGCTATGTTTTCCTAAAATCAAACGAGAAATCCTCTCTCGAGTTCATTCCCATTTAGAATCAATTCAACTGTTGGCCAAACAATCGAAAGCATTTAATACAGGAAAACATAAACAAAATCAAAGAACGACAAATAGATCACAGATCTAGAAACCAAAATCAATATATACAAGGTTTCATTTCCCTAAAAGAAAATGCTCAGTTCATTACAAACATAGCATCCAAATGAAGAACACGAGAAAACATAAACTAAACGTAAAGAAAAAGCTTATGAAAAACCCGAGTCGAAACCCTCGTTGAAGCTTCCCGTGAAGAACTGGCGAAAACCGAAGAGAAGGTCGAGAGATATGTCTTGATCTTTAAAAATGAAGAAGAGACCTTCTATTTATAGTATGAAATCAAAGAAAAATATCTTGTCTCGAATTCTGTGCCCAGATCGCGATCTGGGCTTCTTGGATCGCGATCTAACAGCCTTGGAAACTGCGCACCGCCTTTCCAGATCGCGGTACGGGAATGGTGGATCGCGATCTGGTTCTTGATCAAAAAATGCACTGTGAGACACCCCAGATCGCGATCCAGGAAGGCTGGATCGCGATCTGGGTCCTGATCAAGAAAGCGTTCTGTAAGACCCCCAGATCGCGATACAGAAAGGCTGGATCGCGATCTGGGCTTCTGCGCCATCTTCAAAAACTGTTTTGACCCCTTTTTTAGCCCGAATTTGACAATTTTGCATTTCACAAAAGTTGTAGATACTGAAGTTAGCTTTCTAAGGCCATTTGAATCAGCTCAATCGGAGGTTGTATGCAAAAGTATTGCTTGAAATACGAAACAGTGCCACACCCGCGATAATGCACTTTTACACGTGTTTGGTTTGATTTTCGGCTTCGCTTCCAAAATCGTTTCAAATCGGAAAAAATAGCTTCTCTTTACCTAAAATATAAATAAAACAAAAACAATATAATATATACAACTAAAGCCGAAAACTCGGACGAACGAAGACCAAAACTCGAAGAATTGATAAGTGAAAATCATGCAAAATGAACACTTATCAACAGTTTGGGTTATAGTCGATAGGTTTTCCAAATATGCACACTTTCTTTCTTTATACCATCCATTCACTGCATCGCATTTGGCTACTGTTTTTCTTGATTCTTTTTACCGTTTGCATGGTTTACTGCTCTGTGGTGTCTGACAGGGACCGTATTTTCACCAGCCAATTCTGGCAGCAACTCTTCAAATTGTTGGGTATCCAGCAGAACCTTAGCACCGCCTACCATCCCCAGACGGATGGTCAGACCGAGCGCGTCAACCAGTGTTTGGAGTCCTATCTTCGCTGCATGTGCAATGCTCACCCTGAAAGCGCGCTTCTTCTTTAACGACTTCAACTATCCGTTTCTCTCACATGGCAGATCATAACACAAGGGTGGACTTGTACTTGAAGAAATCTAAACCTATAATCGAGAGAAAAAAAGAAGAGAAAAAAATTTCTCTCCACCGTGAAATAGGCGTGTCGAATTATTCTTTTCTCATCAACCTAATCTCTATTATATATAGCACAAGGAATTAGAGTCACACATAGAGAAGATTAGATGGAAACAAATCCAACTCCTTCTATAACTCTATAAAGTCGAAAATTGCAGTCCAATGGAGACTTAATTTTCGGCTATATTAATTCCAATATATAATATTGGTTGAACTTTATTTTGTCGATTAATTAGAAAATCCATTGGGCTACAATAGGGACTAAAGGAGAAAATATAAATCGGGCAACTAATAATTAATAAATCCAAACTCTTAAAAGAATTCATTTAATTAATCATTAAATAATTATTTATTTTCCACTACCAAATAATTATTGAACTCCCGTTTATATTCTCAAATATTACATTGGAGCTCCGGTGAATCATTACTTAGATTCTCCCCACATTTAGATATCTTATAACCACCAAATAATTTATTCACTGCTAAATAAATTAAATTGTTTCTTTTCATGAGTCTTACCCTCTTAACTTATTTGAGTATGCCGGATACGAAATCCACCTAGCCAGGATTTGGCATAAACAAATCTTATAAGCTACTCAAGGGTTATTATCAATCTCATATTTCAGAGATGTGGATTTCTTTCGATAATTAATTTCCACCTATTATTTCTTAATGTCTCTACCCAACGCACTAGGGGCCATTTGACTCAATATAGGAATTTCTCCCATTGTGACATCAAAGTGGAGATCATCAATTAAATATGTACGTTAATTATCTTGGGATTAAGAGAGTAAGTAATTTACTGTCAACTAGAAATAATACAATTTCATTTTGAACAGTGATGAAACAATTATTTCACTTTGTCCGGTTCAACACATGCCGGGTGTGCTAGCACAATAAGTCAAAACAATAACTACAAAATTTATTCTCTGTTTACTGTGATCAAGACCAATCACTTAAATATTGTGCTACAATCTTTTACCAATGGTTAGTCCATTTCCATCTAGATTGTGAACGTTTATCTTTATATTCTAACCGAACTTTCAAAATGATCTTTATGTGCACCGTAGCACACCATCTCAAATACTATTAGAATATTATGTTAGAGTAGGTGACCAACAAGCCAACATGTGGCTGTGGTCTTTCGTATTTATTATTGTAATAAACGAACCTTTATTCGTATTAATGATAAAACACCTTGGCATTCTATATCTTTGTCCCTTTGTCACAAGCATAGATATAGTCCTTACAGTTATTACAAGTACTAGTAATTGATCGTTAGGATCGTGAGATATTTACTCAAGTATTATAACTGTTAAACGTGTTCCTAGTCGAAGGGTTACGCCACTAATGAGGATATCGGCCTTTCCCATTAAGACTAGCACTTAGTGTATGTGTACTGCATCTCATCAGTAAACGGTATTGTGATATCGGCATGCATAATTGGGTGCTCGTAAGTTGACGAGTTCACTGAACTCCCTCACCCTAGAAATCTCTAAGTGGTTCCCAATAATCGAGTAGAGATATCTATGGTATAGTTGTACACCATTAGTCCTTATGACCTAGACATCACCGTGACTTCACTAGAGGACCAGCTGTATCGTGACCTGTCCCTGAGTTCCACCGAGGACCATCCCAAGGGCCAGTGTTCGTGCAGTCCGAAATCTAGTGGGAGGTCTGTGCATTGTAGTCGGGGATTCGATCGCTAGAATAGTCTTGGATGTCCTGTGTGTTCTGAAAGTTTGTAATCATTCTAAGTCTCTGGCCAGAGCTGACTAAGTGATGATTAGAGAATTCGATTCTCTAAGTCATGCACGTGACGATTACAACACTTGGAACGATCGCACCGTCATCGAACATATAAAGAGGTCTCGATGAACCAATGCCTCTAGTTCGATCGGGACATATGAATCGAAGGGACCGTACTGTACGTTAACTATATCTGAAGGTTCTTGCAGGCACTTCATTTGTATCTAGGGAATCATGACGCGTAGTTGCTAGACGCCAATCTTGATTCGTTGGGTGATTAAGGTGAAACGAGCTTCATCTTAATCGTAACTCTAAGGGACGAGTTTTGACCACACAGAGTTGTGGGCCCACGGCTAGCTTACACCTGAACCATCGAGGGTCACACTGCTCGTGCACATGAGATCTTTGAATAAACGGTCAGAGATAAAATAGTTTATCTTTGCATGATTGGAAGTCAATATGATTGAGTCCAACATTCGTAATTTGGAATTATGAATAAGAATAAGAAAAGGAAAAGAATAGGCGAACGTATTAGTGAACTTTCTAAATCGGGAAGTTTCCAAATTTAGAAAGTGCACTGAACTAGGGTTTCCACTTTTGGAAAGTTGGAAAATGAGAGTTGGCACTCGTAATGACGAGGATATTATAATGATTCCGAAAATGTAATTGTTGCAATTTTCCGATCATTGAATTGAGAGAGACGAGCAAGTAAAGGAACTAACGAGCTTAAGCTGTTGGGCCCGGTCCAACTTACACTACAACAAAAATCTCTTTTTGAGATACACGAAAATGTCCCTATAGATACTATTTTGAGGCACTTATACTTTTAGAGGCAAATAAAACATATGTCGCGTAGTTTCGTGTTGCATTAGCTCCTGGGACATTTATTATCTGTCCCAATAAACTTTTCTTTTCTTGACATTTATATGTGTCCCAATAAATTGTTTTTGAGGCACGCCTAAACATCCTATAAAATATCCCAATTTTGGCAATGAATGTTCTAGAGACACTTATTTTTGACCTTCCGACATTTATAAATGTCATGTTAGGACATTTATTATTAACATATAAGTGTCTTAATACATACTTTAGGATACTTAAGTGCCGCCATTACTTTCCCACGTATACATTTCATATGCTGCTACAACGACTACACATCAAAAAATCAAGACACCAAACCAAACCCAACAGCATCATCAATATTCATTCATATAAATACTAACTGTTTGTACAAGAAAGTCAACAGATACTACAAGGGATCTCCCACGGTAAACCAATGAGATCGAATATCATGTGTAACTACTCATTCTAGTGCTCTAACACTACAAACTCAGAAAAGTTAGATGTAGCTCCCATCACTATCCTGGATAGCATCTACGTTAATGTTGATCATCTGAAGTAGCCAAGCAACCTGCATGTACAAGAAAATACATTATTTAGTAACAAAAAATTAATTAGTAATGAGAATGAATAACTCAAAAATTTTGTAGTAGGATGAAAATCAAATAGAAGTGAATAATTTGAAAAGATAAAAAAAAACATCATTTGGGGAAAATTATTTACTAAAATAATGGGGTACTTACACAATCGGATCAATACTTGTACGCCTTTTCTTCTTTGCGGTTTCCTTTCTCAAAAGAGATAGAAGCACAACACCTTGATAAATTCAGCATTCACATTCTGGCAAACAGTTTAAAAAAATTAGATTTCAAATTGAAAAAATATTCCACTTTATACTTGTATTGTATTTCATGGAGAAAGTAAAAAAGAACAACAAAAGAGATGTTAGAGATAAAAAGAGTAAGGAAAGTCATAATTCTATAATATTTACTTTCTTGAAGTTTACAATGTTGTCATGTGAATATGGAGGGAGACAGGGGATGAAAGAAAAAAGCCAATAAGCTGGTATACTCCACTCTCACAAGGAATTCAACAAGTACCTGTCCAAAATGTAGCTCAGCAAGCACACACCTAAAAGACTAAATATCAATATCATTAATATACTTTGTTGCTTCAAAAATAAAATCAGGTGCCGTATAACACCTAGAGCAGACATAAATGATGTAGAGACCTTCTTTGACCTGCCAAAAGAGTGAATTCAATTGTCAAGCTTACATTTAGTAAATATAATTCCTTCGAGAATAATTCTATATACCAAACCTTTAGCTCTTGCAAAATCACATGATTCACCTGCAAAAGATCATCACTTTATCAACTTGGAAGTGAAAATTTATACGGAACAAGTCAAAAAGACTATCTGAAAACTCAGATTCCAATTCTGAAACAGTAAGATAATTGCCTCAATAAATTATGATAATTACCATTTCTTTTGAATCTGGTTGCCTGAAGGTTAACCATGGATCACATATAAGACTATGTCCATAAAATCTGTCAAATAAAAATATAATTGTATATTTAAACATTATCAAGAATAGAAGAACATTATCAAACAACAACGAAATTGATTTACAACAGCAAACACCCTAAAATTAAATATACAAAAAAAATAATAGTACACCAAAATTATAGACGAATATCTTAGAATTACCACTCTAATCATTAAGAAGATGGCTGGAGATTAATAAAACAATAAACCTTCGTTTCATCTTCTGATTTAAATCTAGGGTTTCAGAAAATTACAAGAAAATCAATTTGGAAAGGAATTAGGCGACGAGGGAGAGACGGGGGAGAGAGGATTGGGAAAAGGAAAAGAAAATTCTCACCTGTAGTCGCCTCTGAGAAGTATTTGGATATGGCCGCCGGTCAAAAGGGAGAACTGATTGGAATACGGGTTATGGCCTTCGGCGAAGAAGTGAAGGTTGTGAAGGGAACTTAAAACTAGGGAATTATTAATTTCTTCGATTTCTTTTTTTTTTTTTTTTTTATTTAACTGTCCCAATAAATTTATTTATTGAGATACATTTAAAAAAATGTCCTAATAGTTTTTCTTTTTGAGATACATTTAAAAAAATGTCCTGATAGTTTTTCTTTGAGACATTTATATAATAGTGTCCCAAACCAAGTGTCACATTACATACTTTTTGTTGTAGTGTTAAGCCCGTTAGGGTTTTATGCAAGGGACTATAAATACTTGATTTATAGGCCTTGCACAAATACACAAGACCTAATCAAAACCCTAGCCGCTCACCCCACTCTCACGGCCGAACTCCTCCCGCGGCCACCACCGCGCCGTCGCCGGAAATTCGCCGGAATCGGCCATCCATTGGCCGATTGCTTTGGTAATCTTTTCCTCTTTTCGTTTCTTCCGTTTTATTCTAACTACTTCGTGTCTAGTGCCACGTTTTAGTAGATCGAAGTATACGAGGTGAAATCCGAGAGGAGGAAGATCAAAGATCGAGGAATCGAAGAGCAGCGCACGAGCCGAAGTCGCACGCTGCCTCACGCGCCGCCCCGGAAGACCGCGCGTGTACCTCACGCGCCGCCGTGGCCGATTCGCCGCTGCTGCCGCTGCACCGCTGCTGCCTCGATTGTACGGATTGGTTTCCGTAGCAATCTCGACTTGCTAAATGCTCCTACCTCACGCTTCAAGAGGTAAATACACGAAACCCTAGTTTCGATTCGTTTACGTTTAAACTATGAATTCATGTTTGCTATTGTATGATTTTATGTGATTATGTGTAATCGTTTTAATCTTTGCAAGCATGATTATTGGTTTAAACGCGACCATGTTAATTGATTTAAATTCGGTTAAATTATTTAGCATGTATGTTGTTTTTAATTTCGCTGGAAGCGCAAAGGTACGCAATTAATTGATTTTAATTTGTCGGGCATGTACTTGTGTGCTTTAAAGTCGTTTAAATCACATTAAATTTTTTGTTTTCCGCTGCGTATGCGTGCCCGAAACCCAACAGTGGTATCAGAGCTCGTTGCGTAGTTAATTGCGTTGTATAATATGCTATGATTTTATGCATGTTCGATTTATTAAAGTAGTGATTGTTGTATTATGTAATTGGGAGTTTTCGTAAGTTTAAAATATTTTTGAAATATTGTTTAGAATTTTTCCAGCTTTAAAATTGTTTAAAATTGGAAAATCGGATCTGAAATTGTTTTTAAAAACGTCGGTTTTTGTTGTTCGGATTGAACCGGTCGAACCGGCCGTTTCGATGGTTGTGTGCGATTTAGTTGACCGAATCCACGTGGATTCGGGTCGGTCAGGCCGGTTCCCGGTCCGACTGACCCGGCCCACTGATTTGGGTCAGCTGGACCGGACAGAACCGGACCGCTTCGATCCGAACCGGTCAGACCGGTTGGGCCGAACCGGTTCACTGAAAATAAAAAAAAAAAAAAAAAAATTATTTCAGATTTCTAAAATTAAACTTAAAACAAATTGATTTTAATTTTTGGAAAATTATTTTCAATTAATCCCAATTAGATAATTGGATCAACAATCATCTATTTTAGTAAATAGGTGTTAGATTAATTAAATTGATTTAAATTGTTAAATTGATTTCAATTAATAGAACACATATATAATATTGATTATAGTTCAACTTAATTAATAGTACCTCAACATTATTTGAATGATTTATGCTAGTTGAGGTTCTATAATTATTTTGAAAAACCCGATAATTAATTAATGTAATTAATTATATAATTAGGTCGTATGTTCCTCTTAGGACAATATGCGTTTCCATATACCTTTAGAGAACATAGATGTAGGAATCACATAGACCAATCCGAACCTTCTGATGAGATAAAACATTTTAATAAAAATCCCTCATTCTTAATTTAATTGAGAATCATTTCAAGCTATAAAGAAAAACCCAATCTGTTGAGTTATTTCTTTCCTTCTGCCAACGGTTGGATTATGTGTAGCCCTTTGCTGTAGTGCAGTAAGCCGTGTTAGCGGGGAGTGCTATGGTAGAGTAAGCTGTAATTCAATTGACATATTGATGAAGGTAGCCATAGAAATGGGTTATGTTGGATTAACGTGGTCGGCTAGATTAACTAGGGACTGCATTAGTTTGGCATAATCAAGTTCTATGAGCATCTTTGATTGGTAGGTTAGACTTGACACACGACGATTTTGATATTCGCGAGATTAACTTAGGTCATTATCAAGTGTGAGGAAAATTAATTTAGGGTCATATTGTGGATATGATTGATTGTGATCTACCTTTGGGCAAATATAATCGGGCTAGATTAACTACGGGTTATATTTGTCTATTGGACCTAAAGCCCATTAAAAAAAATCAGTTTTCTCGTTTGTCTACTAGAGGGAAGTGGAACTCGATAAAATTAGTGGGAGAACAATTAAATAACATAAGTCCAAACATTTAATTGTAATAATCATTTAACGCGAATCCCTAATAATCTTCTTCTCTATATGTCTCAGATAATCATGTCTAAGAATCCCATAATGTCAATCCTCGACAATAAACTCAATGGCCCTAATTACCTAGATTGGTTGCGTAGTCTTAAGCTTGTGCTAACTGTTGAGGGGCGTCTCTATGTTTTGAACGAGAGGCTTCCCGCCACTATACCTGCCACAGCGACTGATGCTGAAAAGGAAACTTATGAAGTTTGGAAGAAAGATGACACTCATGCTAGGTGCTATATGATAGCCGCCATGGAGCCCGCGCTTGCGAGGAAATATGAGTCTCACTTGCATGCTTTCGATATAAAGGCTCATCTCGATAGCATGTATAGTGAGAATATTAGGGCATCGAGGTACGCTGCTACAAAGGAGTTGATCACGGCGAGATTGCGCGAAGGGACTTCGGTCCACGAGCACTGTCTCAAAATGATCACTCTCCTTGAAAAGCTAGTGAATCTCGATGTCACCCTCCCTGCCGAGCTCTCGTTGGATTTGATCCTGTTGTCCCTTCCTAGTTCCTATGAATCGTTCATAGTGAACTTCAACATGAACAAACTAGATCCTCCCTTGGATGAGTTAATGAACATGTTGGTCAGCTTCGAGTCCACCATTAAGAAAGAGAAGTCTGTTCTCATTGCTGCTACTTCTGGAAAGAAGAGTTCTTTCCAAAAGAAGAGAAAGGAAAGAGTTCCCTTCCCAAACAGCAAGTTCGAAGTGGGTGAAGGTAGTGGGGGCCCCAAAGCAAAGGTTGGTAAGCAAGTTGATGATGCTTGCCATCACTGTGGAAAGAAAGGACATTGGCGCTGCAACTGCAAGGCTTACCTAAAGCAGAAAGGTTCTGAAATGGGTACGTATTTCATTGACGTAAATTTGTCTGTCAACTCTTCTTCTTGGGTATTGGATACGGGCTGTGGCTCACATTTGTCCAATGATTTGCAGCTAATGACAAGAAGTCGAAGGCTTAGAGCGGGTGAGACCTACCTAAGGATGGGGAATGGAGCAAGAGTTGCTGCTGAAGCCATTGGCACAATTTACTTAAATGTTTTGGATTCTAGTTTTCCTATTGTTTTGAACGATTGTTTATTTGTTCCGTCGCTCATTAGAAACCTTATTTCTATTCCTGTATTAGATATTGAAGGTTTTACTTTTGTTTTTGGAAATTCGATTTGCATTATACAAAAGAATGAGAATTTAATTTGCAAAGGACGACTATTAAACAACTTGTATGAACTAAATCCAAATGAAATACCTATTAATGTTATATCAGCAAAACATAAGGAGATAGATCAAAACCCCGCACAACTTTGGCACGCTAGATTAGGTCATGTCTCTTTAAGAAGGATGAACGATTTTGTCAGTGAAGGATTGTTCTCTTTGGAGGACGTGAAATCACTACAAACTTGTGAATCCTGCCATAAAGGGAAAATGACCAAATCACCCTACAAAGGGAAAATGGAACGAGCCGAGGGTCTTTTGGATTTGATCCATACAGACGTATGTGGTCCACTAAGTGTTAGTGCGAAGGGTGGATATAACTACTTCGCTACCTTTACCGACGATTATTCTAGGTATGGGTATGTGTACTTGATGAAGTACAAGTCTGAAACATTTGAAAGGTTCAAAGATTTTAGACACGAAGTAGAGAAGCAACTCGGACGAAGTATTAAGAAGCTGCGATCCGATCGTGGTGGAGAATACTTGAGCATCGAGTTCATTGACTATCTAAAAGAGAATGGGATACAATCCCAATGGACTCCACCGGGAACTCCTCAACTAAATGGAGTCTCCGAACGTCGGAATCGAACTTTATTAGATATGGTTCGATCAATGATGGGGTTCACAAACTTACCGGCATACTTGTGGGGTCATGCACTTCGTACTGCCGCGTATTTGCTGAATAGAGTTAACACCAAAGCAGTTAAATCCACACCTTATGAACTTTGGCATTCCCGGAAACCCAACTACAAACATATTAGGATATGGGGTTGTCTCGCATATGTGAAGCGATTAGTGGGAGATAAGTTGGATAGTAAATCCGACTTGTGCTATTTTGTGGGGTATCCCGAAGACTCGATGGGATACGAGTTCTACTATATCAAAGAAGCAAAGACGTTTGTTTCGAGAAATGCCACCTTTTTGGAAAGGGAGTTTCTATCCGATAGAAAGGGCAGCATGATAGAACTTGAAGTAGTTCAAGAACCACAAAGTGAAGTTCAAACGCAAGAACAAGTAATCGAACCAATACAACAAACCACTAATATACCTCCTGAACCTACGGTACGTAGATCCGAAAGAGTTCGGAAAATGCCGGATAGGTTATTCCTCCTCGAAAATGATGAAGATCATGTTGAGCTTGGACAAGATCCAAGAACATACAATGAGGCCGTATCGGATGCGGACATGGGACATTGGCTAACTGCCATGAAATCCGAAATGGACTCCATGTACTCCAACAAGGTATGGACCTTGGTAGATCCACCCAAAGGAATTGTTCCTATAGGCTGCAAGTGGATCTATAAGAAGAA